CTTGCCCACCATGGCGCTGCCGGGCGGAAAAGGCCGGGCCGGGCGGGACCTTCCGGCTGGAAATTTGCCTTCCACGGGCGGAGCTGTTCAGCCGGCCCGGCTGTGTGGTGTGGTGGCGGCTCCGATGAGTGCCTTATGCCGTCAGGCTCTCTGCTGGGCGGCCTGAGGGTCATCGCCTTCAGACCATTGCGGCCTGCCCAGGGTGGGTCCTGTGAACGGCCTGAAGGTGTTCTGCGTGCTTAGGTTAAACCCAGACACCCGGCAACATTTTAAAGTCAAGTGTACGCCTTTGTAAGAGCTGAGAGCCTCTTGGTAGCATTGGAAATTATATAACTTTCCTAAACTAATTATAATTAGTTGATCACTTACTTGTAAGCAGTGCCCACTTTTTAAGTTTCTTCACAGGCTCTTAATGTTAACTTTGATCATTAAAACCTATAGTTGGTTAACCTTGACAAGCTTCAATAAGCAGAGCCAAATTGAGTTGAAGATCAGATATCTCAGATCTTAAATTCATGGCCCTTCAAGGAGGTTGGAGTAACCAGAGGATACCAGAGGAAATAGAAGCTTAGAAAGTTGGAGACTCCCTGACTGAGAAATAGAGGACTAGGAATAGAAAGAGGACTAAAGAATGTGGGATAAATTAGCATGAAGGGCAAGAAATCAACAAGTAATACAGGATAGAATACTAATTAAGATAATTATGTAATTTACATCAGTTTATATAATATATATTTTATATATATATATATGTAATGTATAAATAAATGAAAAAAGTTTTGTACTGGGGTCAGTGTGGAGGCTGAAACATTTAGCCACACACACCCTTCGTCCTGGCCAGGAATAAAGCCTCACTCACTGACACTGAAAAGACAGTTTTAGAGAGACAGCTTTATTTATCCCAGCGATTTTGGAGATTTCTCGGTAACAGTAGCACCAGCTAGTGACCAGGCTGCCACGTAGGACAAAAAACAACTTTAAAAATTACTGCCAGGAATTATTTCTACAGTTAAAACAGTAGAAAATACCCAGCAAGCCCCCAGGGAGGGCAAACACCTGCCAGACTGCAGTCATGGGCCCAGGTGGATGCTGCAACGAAGCAACCCAAGCCTCGGCTGCACCTTTCCACACACAGGAGGGGATAAAATGCAAAGCTGCTTCTCCTTGCTCCAAGATGAATAAAAAGCTCCAAGCCTGGAGCCACAGTTTGTTTGATCTTAACAAGCCCTGAGCGGTGCTCCCTGGTTAATACATCTTTGTTTTCCACGTCCCCTGCCCTCCCCGTTTCGCTCCAGGCTGTGTTTCCCAGGGCCTGATATTGGGCCATGGAAGTGCACAGCTGTAAGTACACTCCTTGTGGAGGAGAGGCCTCTGGGAAGGTACTTGGAAAGATCACAGAATCATGGAATATGCTGAGCTGGAAGGAACCCATCATTGACTCCAGCTCCTGGGCCTGCACAGGACATCCCAAAAATCTCAGCTCAAAGTGGTGGCCAAACAAGGAGCTCTTGCAGCCTTGGGACTGTGACCATTCCTTGGGCAGCCTGTCCAGTGCTCCACCACCCTCTGGGGGAAGAACCTTGGAAGATCCAACTTAAATCTCCCCTGACACAGGTCCCTGTCTTTTCCTCAAGTCCTGTCAGTGGTCACGAGAGGGAAGAGATTGGTGTCTGGCCCTCTGCTTCCCTTTGAGAGGATGTTGAAAACATGGAATCACATAATGGTTTGGGTTGAAAGGAACCTTAAAGATCATCTTGTCCCACTCCCTTGCCTCTAGATCTGGTTGCTCCAAGCCTAACCCTGCCTGACATGGAACACTTGCAGAGATGGGGGGCATCCACAAGATTTAATGTTCAACAGGGATAGAAAATAACAACAGGAAAATTTCCCTTACCCTGCTGTAGGCTGGGTGAGCATAATTTAGGAGCAAAGGCTCAAAATTACAATTCTGATCATCAAAGTCAATGACTTTGTGAAAAAAAACCACTCTGACAGTGTCCCAGGTGGATGCCCAGCTCCCCACCCCAGCTGCTCAAGTGCATCCTACATAAACCACAGCAGTCCTGCAGTTAGTGGTGGGGGGAAACACAATCCACGCTAGTATAAATAAAAAGATGAACCAATAAAAATAAAGGCAGTTAAAATAGGAAAGGGAATGTTTAGCAGCTTAAAATGCTTACAAAACAGGCTGGGGAGCATGTGTGCTGTGACCAAACATATTCCCAATGGTTGGGCGAGCTTCACCCACAGCGCTGAAGGCCAAAGCTGCAGCAGAGCCTGAGGAACAGCTGGAAGGGACTGAGATATGCCAGCAAGTTTCAGCTTTGGCTGCAAGGAGCCATGGTACACCCTCTCTGCTCCCACCATTCCAACTCTGGGGGCTCCCAGCCCTCCCACCTTGTTCCTGCAGCTTTGAGTCAGTTGAAGCAAAGTGGTTGGACAAACCCCATGAAATAACTGGGGAGAAAAGACCGATACATTAAGGGCCTAATGCATACAAAAGGAAAATTACGGCAGCTCATCTCATTCAACCACACTTCCTTCCCCCAGATCTGCAACCCCCACCACTGGCAGGAACTCCACCAACCTTCCCATTTTTATCTACCACAGCTCACCCACTCCTGGGAGGCCTGGGGAGTTCTCTGCAACATCCAGCTTCAGCCATCCAGGCTGGGTGAGTGTCCCAGCTCCAGCTGGCTCACTCTCAGGGTCCATCCCCACCATATCCTGCATGAGATGCTCTGATGCTCCTGTCCCACTGCCAGGATTACTGTGATGCTTTCCTGCTGCACCTGGCTGTGATGAAACTAAGCCAGGTTTGATGTCTTCTTTAATAAAAGCACCAATCCACAGAGCAAAGGAATTTTATCAATTTTACAATCCACAGGGCTTGGAAATTTTCTGCTGGCACTGCAATTGCTTTTCTTACTACAAAAATAAACCCATAACTGTAACACAGCAGCAGGTGAACAGCATCAGGGTACTGTAATGCCTCCAGTTGCCCTGACCATGGCAGAGAATTGGAACAAGATAGTCTGTAATTTCAACACAAACTCTTTTGGGATTCCATAATAATGCAAAATGGTGGCTCAATATCAGCTTGCTTGGAAGGAAAACCTACAAAGCAATTAATAAAGACTCGCATTTATTAGCTTTAAAAAACCCCTACGGTCCTATATGTTTTCTAAATGACTTTATTTTTCTTACTGTAGTGCCCTGAAGAGGTTAAGAGAAAATTGCCAGAAGCTCGTTCCTCTCTGCTTAGGGAAATGCTGCTGCTGGGAGGAGTTATTGAAGCCGGCACAAAAACAGTAAAAGGCTGCTTAAAAAAAATTCCCCACACAGCCCTGAGCTCTGCCAGAGGACAGCGCTTGCACCTCTGTCATGTGAGGAGGCCTGACTACCCTTGCAGAAACATTTCAGAGCCCAACCCACAGTCTAAGAGGAGCCAGCTCCCCATCTTCTCCACACCCAAGGGCTGCCAATAGCTCCCAAATTCACTAGTTTCACCCTCTCCCAGCTTTGTTTGCCCACTGAGGTCAGCGCCGGTCCCCAGCAGGGCTGTGAAAGGTGAAAAGTTCTCATGAAGCATGGAGGTTTGTGTGGGTCCCTTTCCTAGGTGCAGTAGGAGGGCTGCAAGACCCTGGGTAGCCCAGGGAGTCCAGTCCCAGTCCCACAAAGCAGGATGCTGTGAGTTTGGCCAGGCTGAGTGGGGCTGGCTGAGGTTTGGGGAAACACACCCTCCCGCAGGGCACCACTTGACTTCCTCTTCCCCTGCAACTGCAAGACAGAAATAGGAAGGAAAGATTGCGGTACATCACAGAGCTCCTGATGCCCAGCTGCTTTTCCCAGCCAAACTTAAGAAGCTGAGACCATCCTCATCGCAGCCCAAGTACCAGGATAGAGATGAGGGCTAGAGTCCAGGCAAGTACAGTGTCTCAATTTTTATGCTTCTGTTCCTTCTTTCTTGGCGGGGAGGTAGGCAGGCAACAAAGAGGTTTTGTAGCTCTGGTGTTTCAATGGCGTATTTTTATTACTCCTGATCTAACCTCTGGTTACCTGAGTTCAGGGAGCTTCAGGGAGCTTGGTGTGGCGTCCCTCCCACTGGTGGGTTAGTCTGTGCAGCCTTTGCAAAGGCAGCTTGCCTGGTCTGTGACAGTTTTGCCTTTGGAGGTAGCATTGAGCCCAGAAATGCAGGTGGTTATTGTGAGGACGATGCTAGACTTCCAAAACTCCCTTTTCTCACACCCTGCAGGCTCGGAAGGCAGAGCAGAGAGGGTGCAGTGTGCTCTTCCCACGCCCTCACACATGGCACTGGGCAGGGTGGCATGGGCTGTGTGCTGACGTGCAGCACCAGGGCTGTGGGCTGCCACCGTCCCCTCCCATGACCCTTTCTCTTCCTAAGGGGATCTCTGCCACTGCCAGCCATGGGTTGCAGTGGGAAAGAGGGAAGTGGCATGGTGGCATGGCATGAGGATAGTAGGGATGGCTGCCTGGCGGACTCAGCACAGTTGTCACCACCTGGAATGCCTTTGCACAGACCCTCCCGGCTGTCCCTGCACTCCTGTGAGCCTGGGGGAATCGCTGGGAGAGGGAGTGAGAGCCTCGTTCTTCTCCATCTCTCTGTGTGCTGCACACATCAAATACTCTGCAGGCATGTGACCCTGGGGAGAGCGGGTCCTTCCCCACATCTCAGTGGCTCTTGGATGCAGATGGAATGTGGGGCACACCCCAGCTGTCAGGGAAAGCAGCTGGGTCCCTGTGTTTGATGCTTTTTCCAGTGTCACAGCTACAGCTCCCAGCCTCCTAGCAGGTGAGGAGCAAAGGTGTGAACACATGCGGTGACATCATGTCCTATGACCAGCACAAACCCTAGAATGGGTCTGTTGCAAGTTGTGGGAAGTCTCTAAATGGTGCATTTCGCTATCCTAGCTGTGGCAGCTGTCACATCCTGCTTCACAGCGGTTTTGCACTTTTGGTGCTGCTCCGAGTGATCTCAGGCAGGCTGGAGGGTGTGGTGTTCCCAGACTACCCAGGGCAGATAGCGGGCAGCCCCTTCCCACCCAAGCAGGACTCTGACCCTGGCAGACCCAGCAGCACAAACCCCTTCCTTCCCTTCATCCCAGGGCAGGACAAGGGTCCCACGGGCACCCAGGGATCTTGGTGCTCATGGGAGAGAGCTCACCCCGCAGTTCTATCCTCTGCAGGCACTGGAGGCTGCTGGAAGGAAATATATATAAAATATATTTGTATTTCCTATAATAGGACATGGGAATATAGATATATATATATGTGTGTGTGTTAATGTATATATTTTTTATTTAATTATATGTATTCTTTATATATTAAAAAAAATGTTTCTATATATTTATTTTTTATATTTTTTCCTGTGATTTATAAAAACAATATATATATATATATAAAAAACATATACACACACACACTCTGAGTATGATATTCTGTATGGACAGAGAAAGACCTGTGTATGACCACCTGGGTGGGATCTCACACAATTGAGTGACAGAAGAATCAGCCCCAAGTCAAGTGACATTCACTCTCCCATCCTCACCATACCCCACTCTGCTCATCTCCCCTCTGTACAGGGGTCTGGAGCTGCCCAGATTGCAGGGGTGGGAAGGAGCAGCTCTGCTGGGTGCAATACCTGGCATCTCTGTCACAGCATGATGGTGACCTGGCACCAGGGATGCTTGGCAGTGTGGAGCAAGCACCCGTGGGCACTGGTGCTAGTGGAACCTCACTGTTACAGGTGGATGGTGCAAACACCACAGGAGTCCCCCCGGGATACCGGGCATGAGTGCATATCCCCCCTTTTTGTGGGAAAACAGATGTTTAGTAAAGCCCTGATGGGAGCTTGTGGCTAACAGACTTCAAGACTCATCTCTGCTGTTGAACACTTGTTTTATTTATAGCAACAGGATCACTGCTGGCATCAACACTTCCCCTTCAGCCTTATTTATAACTCCCAGCTTGCTCCTCCATGAGCACAGCAGCCGGCTTCATCCCAACAGCAGCCCCCAGCAAATCCTGAGTGCCAGAGTGCCCCAGCTCTGCACCCTGCCCACAGGCAGAACAGCAAGGACAGCACCCTGCATTTAACTTATGCACCTTCCCTGAGGCCACCTTCACATCTTCTGGCATGCAGACCCTTGGGGGGCACCCTGCCCTAAGGCAGATGCTCCATTGGTGGAATATCCTGGTGGCTTCTGCAAAAGGCTTGCTGAAGACGAGGCTTGATCCTGAGCCACCCAAGTCATGTGGTGAGAAGATCAGAGCACAGGACCAAGAAGGACCCTGGTCCTGAGGTGCAGCTTTCTCCCCCTGATGCCACCATGCAGTCCTGGCCAGGAAGCAGAGCCTGGTGGCAATGTGTCCTGCCCTTAGCTGGGTTGCTCCGTCTTGGCACTCCACTCCCCACCATGGGATGAAGGTGGTTGTAAAGCCCTGCAGTTCTGTTCCTTCACAGAAGGGCAGGAGGATGGACCACATGCACCCCTCTGCTTGCCTGAATTTGTGGGAAAGAAGGGGAAGAAAACAATTTCACAAGAAGAGCACTTGCGGGAGTCGAGACCCAGGATTGGTGGTGACTGCAAATCTGGGATGAGCTGAAGGGATCATCAAGAGCGTTGAAGGAAGTGCTGCTGAGGCCTATGTCAGTGCCCTGCTCATGCAGAGTCAGGCTGAAAGCTTGCTTTGCCTTCCTCTGAAGGCTGTGAGGAGGCAGACAAAGGCAGAAACCCCATTAGTGCTCTTTGAAAGCCCTGTGCTCACCCGCCCAAGAAGTGTTGAACTTCCTGCTGTTGCTCTCTCCAAGTATCAGGAGATACTCTTGTGACAAGGGCAAGAAGCCACTGTGGGGGTGAAATAAAGCATCCAAATGCAGCTCACAACATGAGCCCTACTATACAATATTTGATAGCAGCTAGCACTGGGGGTGTGTTGAGAGTATTTCTGTATTTTTGGAGTTTGGGAGCTTTTCTAAATCCAGTTTCAGGGTTGCTCTATTTTATGAGATGAGCCTGTAACCAACCTCCAGCAAGAACGAGGAGCTCACAGAGCTCTATCCCCTCACCACTGCACGCTTTGGCATGGCAGTGGGAATTAAACACTTGGAAACACTGGGCAGGTGGAACAGCAGGAGCTCATTGAGCCCAGGGGTTTGGTCCTCACAGCATGTGAGGGAACTTCTGGTTTGTAGCAGAACTGGAGCCGAATTAGGCACATATGGGGTGTCAGTCACTGAGTTCTACAGGAAACAAAGGCAGGACCCACTTTTCTTTCCTTCAAGCTCAAATTCTGCTGGCAGAATCTGGAGGTGATAAGAATGTGTTGGGCCAGCTGAGCACAGCATGACACACAGACAGGGACATTGCAGCTGTGACAATAAATTATGCACTTAAAATCTTACCATGGGGGACTGTGGTGGTGGAGAGGAACTTGCAGAGCTCTTTGCCCAGGAGGGCTCTGGCCACCCACCATAGGATGGTGCAGATGTGGCAGAGTGAACTCGTCACCCTGAGGGTTTGGCTGGGTGACCACAGCAGTGCCTTTTGTTGTGCTGTGTTGTGCTGTGCAGCAATGTGATGTTGGCTGTGGAGCTCTGCCAGGGGGACTGGATCCAGGGCAGGGTGGGCTTCCAGATGGCCCCAGCCATAATCAGTGATGGCCACTACCTGTATCACAGCTGGGCACCAAACCTCACTGTGCAAACATTACCCACTGACCTACCTAGACCCTCTCTCTGCCTTTGGGAGAAGACCAGACATCCTTTCAAGGCTGACCAGTGTCATCCTCAGCTGGTGTGGTGTCTTACAGAGGCTGATGAGCTAAGGCAGCACACCCTGATGCCTGAGAAGGGGACCTGGGCAGCCCTAAAGTACTAACCTGCCTCGGTGTCTTTTGACAGTTTGCCTTGTTTTCTCGTTTCCACATCACTCTGAGTTGTTTATTTGGTAAGTTCACAGGAAGAGGTAATGGCAGGAGTGGTTCTTTTCTTACTCAGGGCAGCTATCAGAGCTATTTTGAAACTGATGACCTGGTTTTCAGGCACTGTGTCTAATATTGCTAAAAAAGGGAGTGTTTGTTGTTCCTTTGTACTTTATTATTCCTTTTTCTTCTTTTAACAAATTCCTCTTTTCTGACTTCCTCATGTTCATCCATGTTGCAAGGCCATTAGACTGTCAGGGTTTGCTCCAGGGCTTTGCTGGGGAAAGGTGTGACACATGACAGTTTTAATGAATGTGATCTCAACACAGGTCGTCCAGGGAAACTGCAGCTGCCTCATCCCTGGGGCACATCCCAGGTGGTCACAAGAATGTTTTTTGTCTTGCAGAAAATGTATCCTGACTACTGTCTCCAGCTGTCAGCAATGACCTGGGTGCTACTGCTGGTGACAACAGGTGAGCACGACCTGCCTTCCTCCCAGCACCTTTCACAGGCAGTGAAAGGGTGGGGGGATCCAAAATCTGCCCAACAGCAAAGGGGACACAGCACTGAGCGGTGTGTAAAGGCAGTGTCCTTACACTTCCTGGGATCTGGACTTAACACGAGCAAGCTCAGCTGAAGGACAGCAAGGCAGTTGATGGCCCTTCCAGAGCCCCCAGCATTGGTTTGGGAGGCAGGGCAGGCTCAGGCCAGCTTGGGTGCATGGTGTTGGGTGTCTGAACACCCCCAACTTCCCCCCACACCAACTCTGCCTTCTTGCCTTTCCAGCCTTTGCCATGGAGTGCCCCAAGATCAAGGTGGGCACATGCAAGGACTGCATTCAGTCTGGTCCAGGATGCGCCTGGTGCAAGAAGCTGGTAGGTCCATGTAGCCTGTCTAGTTGTCACCCCCCAGCAGTCAGCTAACAGGCATCAATCAAGGCAGTCACCCTGCCTGCCTGGCTCTGCCTGACTTCATTGTGGGAGTGTTTCATGTCCTGCCTGAAGGATGGGGCCAGGAGGGATCCAACAGCTATAACCTTTCTCCATCAAGGGCTTTCTTTTCTCCATCAATGGCATGGAGATCTGGATTGGGGGCCAGGTCATCTTGCATGGTGCCTGTTCACCTCCTGCTCCTCTGTTACTTTTTCTTTCCTGCTGGTGTTGTCACATGCAGGATTTCACCAAAGCGGGTGAGCCAGACTCCATCCGCTGCGACACCATTGAGCAGCTGAAGCAGAGGGGATGCCCAGAGAGTGAGATTGAGTTTCCAGGCAATGAGATCAAAAGGACACAGGACCTTCCCTTAAGCAACAAGATACAGCTGACTCCACAGGAGGTGCACCTGAAACTGCGGATAGGTATGCTCTGCCTGGCATTCCCAACACCCTTCTTCTTGTGGCCTGCCAGCAATGCCCTTCCACTCATCCCCAGACCCACCTGAGACACAGCAACACATTGCAGCTTGCATTTCCACCCCTCTTCTTCCCAGAGAGGAGGGGGGTGGGTGAGGGCACAAGCTGGCACAACACGGCAGCTGATCCCACCATCCCTGTCCCTCAGGCCAGCCTGCTGTGTTTGAAGCGAAGTTTCGCCGTGCCATGGGGTATCCCATTGATCTCTACTACCTCATGGACCTCTCCTACTCCATGCTGGATGACCTGGAGAAAGTGAAGAAGCTGGGAGGGGAGCTGCTCAGGGCGCTGGAGAGCACCACTCCTTATAGGAGAATTGGTGAGCCTGTCTTCAGCCTGGCACATCTGTTTGCTGCTGGGAAGAGCTGCAGGGCTGGAGGGGGATGCAGGAGGTGGACAGCAGGTGTCCTCTGCCAGGCTGAAGAGTGTGGCAAGGCAAGGGACATGGGCATGTGCATGAGGGCCAGCAGATTGTCCATGCCCTGTGCCCTGAAACTGTAGTCTGGCTACCCTAGGGTTTGGCTCCTTTGTGGACAAGACAGTGCTGCCGTTTGTGAACACACACCCTGAGAAGCTGCAGAACCCCTGCCCCAATAAGGACGAGAAGTGCCAGCCTCCCTTCGCCTTTAAGCACATCCTGTCGCTGACTGACAATGCCAAGCAGTTTGAGAACGAAGTGGGGAAGCAGTTCATCTCAGGGAACCTGGATGCCCCAGAGGGGGGGCTGGATGCCATGATGCAGGCAGCAGTGTGTGGGGTGAGTCCTGCACCTGCCCTGCTGCCAGGGGGTGTGCTCAGGCAGGAGGGCTGCTGCCCACTCACACAGGTGGCTCTGCCCCTCTCCTGGTGTGCTCTGGAAGCCCATCTTGCCTAAGTTCTGATTTGGCAGCAGGGCAGGTCACTCTGGAGGGTACAAGAGAGCATCCCACCCCAGAGCCTCCTAACCCTCATCTCCCTTAACCCACATTCCTCGTGCCCCCTGCCCCGTGCTGGGGCTGACACCATGGGTGGGGTCACTGTCCTGCCAGCCTTGCCCAGGGACAGGGGCCACTCTCTGTGCCACTTGCAGGACCTGATCGGCTGGCGCAACGTGACCCGCCTGCTGGTGTTTGCTACTGATGACGGCTTCCACTTTGCCGGGGATGGCAAGCTTGCGGGCATCCTGACCCCCAACGATGGCAAGTGCCACTTGGAGGACAACATGTACAAAAGGAGCAATGAGTTTGTAAGTACCTGGGGGCTGTTCAGCATCTCCAACACCCCCCACCTCACCTCCCCAGGCAGAAAAGATGATATCATGTAAATAACAGCCTGTTTCAGAGACCAAAATACCACCTTAATCACCCTAAATTGTGCTGCCACACCCAAAGTGTCTACTCTTTTGCTGGTGGGGGAGGTTGTGCTGAGTGTGCTATCCCTCTCCCCATCCAGGACTACCCCTCTGTTGGCCAGCTGGTCCAGAAACTTGCCGAAAACAACATTCAGCCCATTTTTGCTGTCACCAGTAGGGTGGTGGATGTTTACAAGGTGAGAATATGTCAGATGGTCCAGGTGCCTCCTTCCCCTTTCCAGGAGGACAGACACAGCTGTGTGTGTCTCCTGCTGCTGTCTCCTGCTCTGCTGTCATGTGGTAGGAAGTGCTCACCTCTTTGCTCTCCACTGGCAGAAACTCAGTGAGATGATCCCAAAGTCAGCGGTGGGAGAGCTGAATGAGGACTCCAGCAACATCATTGAACTCATCCAAGTGGCCTACAATGTAAGTGCGGGAGTTCCCACCTCTCCAGTGACATCACCTGCATTTCCAGGACCACCCCAGGCAGCTGAAATCCTGACCTGTGGTGCTCTCTGGCTCTTTTTCCTGACCTGCAACCCCAAACCCTCTTGGTTCAGTCTACTCTTGGACTGATGGCACCTTCTCCACCATTTTTTCAAAGAACCTCTCCTCACGGATAATCTTGGACCATTCCTCCTTGCTGGACACTCTGGATGTCAAATATGACTCCAAATGCAAAAATGACAAGGACTCTGTGGATGAAGCAAGAGGCCAGTGTGACAATGTCAAGATAAATGATGAGGTATGTTCTCCTATACCAGGAACACCCCAGAGCTTGCACAGTTTCTGTTGCCCATCCTGTTTAATGACAGGAAGCCTGGTTGCTCTTCCAGGCTTTCTGTTTATACTAATTTAATGCCAAGAATGTCCAAAATGCTATGGAATGTGGGAGATCTGCCCTTGTTCTGGATGTGCGTGTCCTCAGCCTAGGGCCTGCACACTGTGACATCTGGCCCTTCCCTGTCCTACTCTGCACTTTCTAGGTCATCTTCAAAGTGAAGGTCACAGCCAAGGCGTGCATTCCAAACTATTCCTTCACCATCAGGCCACTAGGCTTCACAGACACCCTCACTGTCCATGTGGCCAGCAACTGTGACTGCCACTGCAATGACCAGCCTGACCCAGCCGCTTGCAATGGGCAAGGCATCATTGAATGTGGCATCTGCAGGTATGTGCTGTCCACCCAAAACACAATTTCAAATGCTGCCAGAGCTGGGGAATTGCTGGGAGAGGGATGTTGGGCCAAGCCTTGGCTGGGCTCTGTAGCTTTGCACAAATTTTTATTGTTCAGAGGGGTGGATCCGTGCATTTCCCTTGGAACTGTCCCCTGTGTTGATGGAGGCAGGGGACACAATGAGCTGGCTCTTCTGTTGGTGGAGGTTATGCTGTTTCCCTAAGGGCCTCAATCCAGCTATCTACCCATCCATCCCAGTATCAAATCATCCACCAATTCACCCACCGAGCAGACACAGGTTTCTGTAGTGGGTGAAAATCCCATTTCTTGGCTGCAGCTCACAGGTCTTTAAGTATAATTATTGCTTCATGGCCTCTCAGTGACAAAGAGAGGCAAAGACTGGGTTCCCTCAGGAAATACTCACATCTCCTTGGCAAGGGCTTAGAAATTATAAATATAACAATAATTTTTGGGCATTTATTTGGTGTTGTGAATACAACTGATGGAAAAGCAGCATTTCTGAGGTTTGCTCCCAGTCAGCCACCCTGCTCCAGCACGGAGTTAGCACCAACATGCTGTGATTGGTTTTTGGTGAGGCTGTCCCAGATTTGCTCCACTTTTGTGGAGGTCTGGGCCCTTGCATGCCCCATGGCCACTGACCCAAGCTTGCTCGTCTCCTCTGGCGGCAGCTGCAACTCAAGATACACAGGGAAGAACTGTGAGTGCGACACCAAAGGAAAGAGCAGCAAGGAGCTGGAGAGCAGCTGCCGGAGGGACAACAGCTCGGTGATCTGCTCGGGGCAGGGGGACTGCGTGTGCGGGCAGTGCGTCTGCCACACCAGTGACACACCTGGCAAGTACATCTACGGCACCTACTGCCAGTGCGACAACATGAACTGCGAGTTCTTCAACGGCTCCCTCTGCGGCGGCCCAGGTGATGTGCCTGCCACAGCTTTTCCAACTGGCCACCGCTTAGAGGAATTAAATGCCCAGGGAGATGCGGCCTTTTTGTGCCATAAGCCCAGTGGGAGGGTTTGGGGCTGCTGGGTCCCACCACACCAGCTCCTTGGGCATCCCGTGAAGGGTGGTGTGGTGAGCGCAGGGTGGGTGACGCTCTCCAAGCGTGGGCAGAGGGAGGGTGGCCTGGTTGCCTGCAGGATCTGAAAGATCTTCCTCTGCAGCACGAGGGCAATGCGACTGCGGGGCGTGCAAGTGCCTGCCTGGATACGAGGGCAGCGCCTGCCAGTGCCAGCAGTCGACGGAGGGCTGCCTCAACACCCGCAGACACGTGTGCAGCCTCCGCGGGACCTGCCACTGCAACCGCTGCCAGTGCTGGGGAGGCTACCAGCCCCCCTTCTGCCGGGAGTGCCCAGGCTGCGCTTCACCCTGTGGCAGATACATGTGAGTGATGCCCACAGAGAGGCCACGGGGGCAGGGGGGATCCCTAATATCCCAGGGAGGCACAGGCAGACCCTGCCAGTGCTTGGGCAGAGCCCAGCTGTAGCCAAAGCCAGGTGAGAGGGTTGCTGCCCCTGCAGATGTGAGCTGTGCCTGCTTGTTTTACAGCTCCTGCGTGGAGTGCAAGTTCTTCAACAGTGGTCCCTTTGAGAAGAACTGCTCCCAGGCCTGTCCCAACATCCAGCTGCACACAAACTCAACAGAGGTGAGCATAAATGATAGGAAATGCAGAGAAAAGGATTCGCAGAACTGCTGGATGTCCTTCCGTATGGTCCAGGAGGATGGCGAGGATATGTACACCATCATCGTTGATCCTGATAGAGGTATCCCATCCCTGCTCCCCCTGCCCTGACACAGGCAGGCTGCCAACCTTGCTATGGCAGCCTTGCTGCTTTGCCAGGGGCTGCAGCCTGACACTGTCTGTCTGTCCCAAAGAGTGCCCACAGCCTCCCAACATCCCACTGATCGTGGGCAGCACCATCGCTGGCGTGTTCCTCATTGGCATTCTGGTCCTGGTCGTCTGGCGGCTCTTGATGGAGCTGCTTGACCGTCGGGAATACCGCCGGTTTGAGAAGGAGAAGACCAAAGCCAAGTGGAATGATGTAAGAGAGCCCATCCGTGCCAGTGGGGTGTTCTGGGGTGCTCAGATCCACTGGGGACAGTCGGAGGGGACATCCTTTCCAGAGGCAGCCATGTAGACCTGAGCCCTCCCCACTGCTCATTTTTCAGCCCAGCTGGATTTTGCCATTTAGGGGCCTAAACACCCTATGGGCTCTTCTTCCAGTGCTGTCTGTGCTGTTGGCATTGGGATGGGTGGGATGGGTAATGCTCTGCTGGAAATCCATCACAAGCCTCTCACTTCTCTCCCTCCAGGCTGATAATCCCCTCTTCAAGAGTGCCACCACCACTGTCGTCAACCCCAGGTTTAATGAATGAGGCAATACCTGGCAGCACTGGGATGCACTGTTAAAAAAGGAAATGCCAAGCTAAGGAAAGCTCAAACTAAGGAAATCTGAAACTAAGGCTCCCACCCCTTCTTCTTTATCCTCATGTTTTCATCCCTTCTTCCAAGAGCCCTCATCGTGTCAGGTGCTGACTGAAGGACTGCACCCACACCAGTCTCCTGGCCCTGCTTTCCAGTTGTGTTGGTGGAGCTGGTAAAGGGGAACACCACAGGAATATGCAATGGGTCCTGCCCCATCTCCTGATGCTGACTTTGCTTTCTGGCAGCAGTCTTGGACACTGACCCCGAAGCCAGAGTACAGAGTGCTTCCAGCTTTTATTTTGAGCTGGGATTTCAAAACTACCATCTCTCTTCTGCTCCAGCAGGATCTGCTTCCAGGCTGCTCCATGCCTTCCCCTGCAGCACTGGTCTCTAGCACTATGCAATGTTTTCCTGAGAACTCACTGCTGAGTTGGACATAAAGGGTCCAAGCAACTGCAGTGATGTGATAGGCCCTAAGGGCTAGTGAGCACCTGTACCTTGTGATGAAGAGCAGCTGGAGGACATGCACTGGATCTTTTTCCCAGATCACCAACAGCTTCCTGACATCGCTCCCTGCTCAGACCTACCTCAGGCCAGGTTCTGCCTGGGCTTCTGCATGCTTGCCTTGTCTCCATCATGCCTTGAAGTCCTCTGTGCAGTAAGGAGCCACTGTTTGATCTATAGAACTTGATCTATGATCTATGATCTATGAGCACCTGGAAAATGCAGGTTGGAGGTCAGCCATAGCTTCTCCCACCCCCTGGGGCATGATCTTTTCTCTGCATTGCGAGCATGTCAGTCATACCAGGAGCCAGCTGTGCAAAACATCTGGCAGTACCCAGAGCCTCTCCAGCTCAGCACTTATTGAAGAAGTTTAATGTGAATAAAGATTAATATATAAGGTAAATACATCTGTCCTGCTAAGAATTAGGTGCAAGGGCAGCAGCTAAAGCTAAAGCATTCATTGGAGAAACTACCATCACACCTTGTCATTGCTGCCACCATCTTCCATAGGTACAGTGCCTGGGAAAGATCCCAGCTAGAGAAGCAAACTGTTTTCTACACAATTTGCCATCTATGCCCTGAATGGTGCTCCCTTGTGAGTCAAAACTGACTCACTAAACTGTGCAGAGCAGTTCTCATCCCTGCCCATGTGCTGGCAGCTGTTCACAGACCACCTCAAATGAGACTGGCGGTGCCACATCAGATCAGGGGTCAATTTGGGCCATTTTATTGTTCTTAAGCAGTGACTGAGGGTCCAGGGCAAGGTTAGAAGGAAAGTGTGTCTGATAATCCACCTAGTTCTCTTCCAGACTGCAGCTATTTTTGGCTTCAGGACCCTCAAAATGTTGGCTTGTTTTTGCTCAAAGCAGTCTGCAGGCTGGGAAAAAACTCTAAGATCATTGACTGTCTAACCATTAACCTAGCACTGCCAGCTCCAACACTAAATCATAATCTCTAAGTGCCAGATCTACACATGACATCCCTTGAGACCAGGCTGCCAGGGTTACACACCTGAGACCCTGGAGAAGCTTTCTGGGCACTGTGCCTGACGGGCTCCTCTCACCTGGGAAAGGGAGAGAGGCCAAACTGCTTCCAAGGGGCTGCAGGAGCTGCCAAACCACATCCCAAGAGAAACAAAATCACCCAGCTGAGCCAACAGTCTGGGCCTTCATTTTTATTACAACAAAGAGCTCCCCATACATTTAAACCACTTGTTTGCCAAAGGGAAGATTTCCAATATTCTTCAGATAATGGGACCAGCCCCACAAGTCTTCCAAGCAGAAGCTGGAGTTCCGTGCCAGACGCTTCATCAGCAGGTAGGTGCCACCCAGTCCTGCTGCTCCCACAACAAACAGCCCTCGATTAATTACCTGCAAGTGCAAAGAGAAACCCCGACATCATCAGAGGCTGGCCCCTACCCTGCAACACCAAGCAGTCATCACACCTGGCAGTATCCCACCAAAAGAGCTGTTGTCCCCCCCCCCAAGCTGGGCAGTGCTGGTGTGCAAGATGCTCCCAAGGCTCATGGCATGGGGAGGATGGGCACCACCCTTGACCAACCTTTGTCTGCCACTTCCAGCGTAGGAGGGCCTCATGGTAGCGAATTCTGGTGAAGGTCACCTGGCAGGGGTTGCAGGAGAATGTCACCACCCCAAAGCCAGGCAGGAGGAGCTCACATCAGTGGGAAATGACAGGCTGGCTTACCATGGTGTACAGTGGGACAATGGTGGAAGGCATGAGGGCGTGGAGAAAGTTGTCTACGTGCTTCCGGAAAATGAACCATGTTGAATTCACGTGCTCACGCATCTGCAACAGAGCAACAGTCACCCCTTTGTGATGGGTTTTGTCAGAGCTCCCCTGTGCTTTGCTACCTCTCCCAGGAGAGTGATGCAGGGACCAGTGCCTCCTCAGCCACAGTGACATTCCCAAGGAGCTCTGAGGCTAAAGCCTGCCAGGGTGAGAGCCCAGCCAGGGATTTGCCAGAGGCCCTGCCTGCTGCATGCATCCTGAGAGCACTACTGTGTGCATGGCCCACGGAACCACAGGTCTGTGTGGGGCTCTCACCTACCTCTACGTAATTGTACATGGCTAAATCTGAAATTGCGTGGTCATCTGGCACCCTCAGTCTGGAGAACTCAGGGAGGCAGGCACCTGGGAGAAGAAACTAACAGTTCACAGGCAGCTCCTGCAGGGTATCCAGCTGCCCTCAGCTGCAGAGGGATGTTCCCCAGCCACCTCACATACCAAGGTCATTGTGGAACTGGTCCATTAATTCATCAAAGACCAGACAATCTTCAAAGCCCTGGAAGGAATATTAGGGGGTTAATAGGCGTAAAGGACCCATACATTCAGAAGTGTTCTCATGGATCCTTAGCTATTGTAGCTGTTTGGTCCCACTGACCACAGTTTCAGAGCAGGAGTCTTACTCCAGGCCCTGCTGACAGGGGTTCTGAGAGAAACTGAGGGGATTGCTGCTGATTTCCCAGCTGCCTGGACCCCCCTCTCATGTAGTCTTCTGCTCCATGGGAAGGTGGCATCATCACCCTGTCCCCTGCTCTTCAGAGGACATCAGGCTGTGGGACAGCCAGCCCATGAGCTCTATGGAGTTAAACGCTAAAACCAGGCATTTGTGGGTGCAAGGAGTGGGATCCCCACCAAGAGGGACAGGCCAGCCATGAACTTACTGCATTCATGCCCTGTCCGTAGAAGGGCACAACAGCATGCGCGGCATCTCCCATCAGCATGCACCGGGAGGAGAGGTTGTAGGAAGAGCACTTCACAGAGATCATGGCCTGGGCTGGCAGCAAAAAGTAATCGTGCTTCAGCTCTTGCCTTCAGGTAAAACAACAGATTTTGTTGTGTGGAACCACAAGAGAGAAGAGCAAGCCATGCTGCATCCAAGCTCAGGAAGCCAGGCCACAGGCACTGTCAGCTTTGGTATGCAAACCCCAAGCCTGTGCACTAGGCTGTTTGTGCTGGGAAAAATGTGGAAGTCAACTTCCCCACTGTGGACCAGATATTTTGTCTTTAGGTTTTAAGTTCTGCACTCAACTTGATTATTGACATCCTCTCACTGTGAGCTGCAGTAGCTGTTGGCCAATGTAGGAAGGACATACCAGAGAAGATCTGAGTTTCTCAGTTAATATGAAATCCTGGGATAATTCATTCTAAGAGGAAACTGCCTAACACAGCTGAGACTGTTGATATCATCCAAGAAAAAGCCCATCCCATAACAGACAACTGTTGATGAGTGAATAGGGGAGATGGGAACACTCACTCTCCGATGAGGGGAATGGCGTCTGGGAAGTAGGTCTGGAAAAAAGCCAGCACTTGCTCGCCTGTTGTGAGCTTCTCAAATTCCTCAAAGGGCATGAAGAGTGTGCAGGTGAAGGACTTGTCCTGCCAGCCAGGAAAAAAGGTCAGTAAGAAGCCCAGAGACCCTGAGGCAGCAGCTCAGTGCCCAGCCACTGGCAATCCCTGTGACCCACTGGCCATCCCTGTGACCCACTGGCAATCCCTGTGATCCACTGGCCATCCCTGTGACCCACTGGCACAGCAAGGGACGAATGTCTGGCCACCCCCTTTCTCATGCTGGGCAGGAACAGGGGAGGCAGAAACAGTGGGCATGAGCCTGCCACACTGTCCTGATGCTGCTGGTATGTAGTTTATAACAAACATCCAGCTGCAGAGTGCTGTTTTGTGCGGGTCTGGAGCACAAATCCTGTGAGGAGCAGCTGAGGGAGCTGGGGGTACTTAGCCTGGATAAAAGGGGGCTCAGTGGAGACCATATCACTCTCCACAACACTCTGACAGGGGGATGGAGCCAGGTGGGGGTCGGGCTCTGCCCCCATGTAACAAGGGACAAGACAAGAGGAGGCAGTCTTAAGCTGCACGAGGGGAGTTTTAGACTGGATTTTAGGAAGAATTTCTTCACAGAAAGGGTGATTAGACATTGGAACAGGCTGCCCAGGGAGATGGTGGAGTCAGTGTCCCAGCAGGTTTTTAAGGAAAGGCATGGCACTCAGTGCCATGATCTGGTTGACAAGGTGGTATTGGGTCATAGGTTGGACTCTGTGATTTCAGAGGTCTTTTCCAATCTAATTGATCCTGTGTTTTGGTTATCCCATGACTCCTGACCCTCCCAATCCCTGCCACCACAGCTGTTCATCCCCACCAACCCCCTCCTGTGCCCCAAGAGAACATGGCCCTGGGTTAGCACCATGTTGGGCAGTGCAATCATCATGAAGGTGTTTCTCGGCCAGATATGGAGGTAGTTTGGTTCCATGGCAAACTGAAAGAGAAAGAAAATTGCCTTGTATCCTTGACCTGCCCTGCTCAGCTTCCCCAGCCCAGGCTCTGGCTTCCCTCCACACAGCACAACAATTCCTATGGGAAGACACAACAACTACAGGGCCCCTTTCTGGTCCCTGATGCTTCAGGGAGACACAGAGCAAGGGAAAGAGGAAAGGATAAGAAATATGGGCAAAAATCTGATGCTTTGCAATTGCTGATGTCATCATAGACACATTCCCATACCTCCAGGACCTCTCAGAGCCAGAATTAATCCCACCACTCCAGGACAGGCACTCTAGGATTTTTGCATGCAGGTACCAACACTGGCCCCACTTTTGGAAGAGGAAGAGATCTTTGTCTTCTCTTAGGGAAGGTTTAATCCCTTGCCTGAACCCCAGGTGAGAAATGAATTCTTCCAAAGCTGTTCTAGCAGAGCCAGAGTGAGAAGGGGGTGGGATATCCAACCTGTGAAGGTTGTAGCGGCCCCTGGGACAGGCACACTCACATCTCCATCCTTGGGAGGGATGCTCAGCTCCATGTAGCCATGAGGAATGTACTCGTGGCTGTAGTTGAAGCGTGTTTGCCTCATGAACTGTTTTCTGACTGTTGAGAAGGCTCCATCACACCCCACAATGAGATCATAGGTCAGTTCCAAGATCTGCTGGTCGGATCTGAAAGCAAGACAGTACCTTGGATCAATCTGATCTTCAGCGTCCATTCCCACCCTAACCATTCCATGATTCTGTGGATAATCCTCCTGTAACTCCGGGCCAGCTCAGCACCACTGTGCCCAGAGGACCTGCCTTTTGCAAAATGTGTTAGTAATCTTCTAGGGAAGATCATCTCTCACTGCCTGGGAAGCACAGCATTAGGATAAATAATTATCCTGCAGGTTATCAAAAGCATAACTCTGCCAGGTCTACTCAGCATTGCAGGAGGCACCTTTGGGATAACACTGCTGTTTTGTAGAGCCTACAGCACCTGCCAGGAGGATGGGGGGTAGGACCAGAACTTCCACAAAAGACTGTGAAACAAGGTCGTGGAACCACAGAATTGCTTGGG